CATTGATCTGCATACGTCAGTGTGTATTAATTCAAGTAATTGATAGGTTTTAATTTCCGATTTCTTTGGAAAACTCTTAGTAGTCATCTTGGCCTCGATGCAATATTCATAAGGTTTGAATATGCGACATTTCTGAATATTTATTCCTGTAGCCAATTGCTTATTCTGCATCAAAATTATGGAGTTTGTGTCATGTTGCCCTAATCTTCTATGCCATAAATGGATGCATTCCTTCGTATCATTAACTATTGTAAGCGCTTTATAAGATTTATTGAGCTCAAACAAACATGTGTTTGCTGTTGCTGCTGTTACTCCATTTTTCTGGATAGAGCAAATGTTTCCTTCAAATTTTATGGCAAACTCTAATCACGTTAGTCTTCTGACTGAGATTAAATTTCCTTTAAGGTGTGGACATATAGCACGTCTTTCGTATATATTTGATGTCATTCATTATTTTCATCCATGCAGGTTATCATTACATTGCCTTTACCTTCAGTGTATAGAGCTTGACCATTGGCTAGTATCACTCTCTCTATGTTTACTATTAATGGTTGTGAATAAATGCTTCTCGCAACACATATGCGACAAAGCTCCCAAGTCTACGTACCATTGATGAATCTTATTTTGTGTTCCTGTCTTAAAACATACGTAGGCTTCCGTTTCTGCATGTTGTTCATCACTTTCCGCATAAATTTTGTTGATCTGATTTGGATGTTTTTCTTGTAAAAACGCCGATTGGGGGGAGAGATTTTTTCCCCTACCGTCGGGATGGTCTAAGGTCTTAGCGTATGTGGGTGGAGGTTTTTAAAGGCAGCAAAGACAAGTGTTTACAAAGGTAAACCGTTTATTCCGGACGATAATGCTTACATAATTTTTGTTGGCAAAGGTCCTTAAGTTCAGAACTTCGGGTTGTCTTCGTAAGTTGTTTTTGGTGTCGATCTGGTCCTACGCTGGAGGGGCCCCGTGACTGCGTCGAGTGAAAGTTCAAGATCTGAAGTGAAAGCACACAAAAAATGAAAGGAAGCACGACAGCTGTCGACAAACGAACACAACAGGTAGTCTAGGTGGAAAAGTCTTAGTAGAAGTCTTAGTGGAAGTCCTACTGTTAGTGGAAAGTCTTGTTGTCCTTGAATTTTGCGTTTTTATAAGGTTTTTGCGATCGGCTCCTTGTCAATTGGATAGATCTTACATCACCGTTTTCCAATTGGTCATCCACCTGTCTCCAGGTGTAAATGGAGCTTCGTTAAGTTCGTGGAAAAGGTCGGCTGGAGATGGTTCATTCGACACCATCTTTTCGAATCTGATCACTTTTAATTGTTGACTATGACACCTTCGCTCATCTAGACATTTTTTTTTTTATCTAGTTTTGTTTTGCTTTCTAAACTGCGTCTTAACTTTTAATATTTTAAATTTTCTTCTTTTTACATCTAAAATTTGGTTTTTCCGTCAACTTTTGATGAACGTCGACGTCAAAGTCGGGTGTCGCCGATTCGACACTTATAAATTGCTTTCCTGACGATTTAACATAACAAATTTTTACATATCTTTCCTTTTTTTTAGGGGGAGGGGCTATTTCCAGGGCCCCACATTCTTTCCATGTTGCATATTTCCTACATTCTTTCTTTACATGTCCCTGTTTTTTGCAAAAATAATAACTTTTCAGCAAATTCCTTTTCTGAGTTACTGGGTGTGCTCCCACTTTAAATGCTTTATCCACTTCATATTCTTCATTTGATGAGGTCTTTCTTCTTAAGTGTTCCTCAAGTAATTTATTACATACTAACTCCTGAATTAAATCTTCTTTCTGGACAAGTCTCTAGTGCTGTTATTAAAGTGTTATAGCTGTCTGGCAAGCTACTAAGTAATAATGCTATTTTTAATTTCTCAGCTAGAGTTTCTCCCAGTGCCACAAGACAATCAATCAATTCCTCCATGTTGGCCAAGTGTATCTCCATGTCGCCGTTTTCTTCTAGTTTTAAATTGCAAATTTTCTTCAATAGATAAACTTTATTTGATAGTGTAGACTTAATGTGGTGTTTCCTTATGGCTTCCCAAGTTGCTTTAGCTGTAGTTTCCTTTCTTACTAATGGCAGTTGATTGTCTTCCATCAGGAGGCCTATTATGGCGCATGCCTTTCCATCCTTTATTAACCAAGATGAGTCAGGATCCGAGGGTATTTCCTTTTGTATTATGTCCCATAATTCGTCTTTTATCAACAGCAATTCCATCTTATATTTCCAAATGTAATAGTTGTTGTTGTTGTTCAATTTAGTGATGGCAACGTAACTTTTATCCACCATTGTGAAATCTCGTGTGTTCTTGCCATATATTCTTCTTACATAAGTTTCTTGAATTTACCTTTTCTTTCTTGTTCTCCTTATGCTTAATTAGTTGTTGCCATAACTGGGCCCATAACCTGTTAGACTAGGTGTTGCTTGTTGGAGAGATTAGTAAAAAGGCAATTGGATTAGCATAACTGATTGTGTAACAAAGGAACAAAGAGTGCACAAAGATTACAAACAGTCTTTACTCACAGAAGGTCAGTGCTAGAAAGGGGAGAGTGAAATGAGGCCACCTTCCCCAAGGGGTCAACAGCACCACCAACCTTTTATTATGTCAGAAGAACATTACAAAACATCGTGATCGTTGATTCCAACAGGTGGTCGGTTAATGAACAGTTTGGTTAATGAACAAATCAGTTAATGAACACTTTCACAAAAGATTTTTATGTTTGGACAACAAACACTTCACAGAGCAAACACAAGAAGAAACGATGTAAAATATGAAAGACCAATTGGTATTCCTTGTCTTTAGGCAACAATTCGAAACTTTTCAGAGCACGGGAGACATTGAAATTGACATTCAACCCGGTATATACTGATTGGATAGTATTCCTCTGAACTTTGAAACTCTCTCTTATAATTCCAGCCTTCTTCTATTTTTCTGACAAACAATTCTTTTATAGTATTTGCAAGACTGTCAGGCGGGCACTTGTTAAGTTTTGCGTCAATTTTTATTTTTTTTGAAAGGTAAAAGTATAATAGCAAAGGTAGAGAGTGGGCAGAAGATATCTGATGTTGCTGGGCAGTATGGCTCAAACAGGTCTACAGTAGGCCACAGTTCAATCTTATCTAAGAAAAATACTGTATAATCAAGAAGACTCAAGCAGCTAAAAGGAGTAACAATAATCACATCTGAGAAATAAAGAACATTGAAGAACTCATAATGAAACCTGAAAATGATCTGACGACAGAAGAACGCCAAGAAACTTGGCGAGATATGTTTTCTTCTGAAAAAGAGGATTAATGCCAATATCTGCTATTAAACATCTTTTGAAGAAGTGAGAGGATGTCAGATAATGGTCTTAGAATGGCATCCAAACCAGGTTGAGGTTAATAGACTTAGAGATCTCTACAATTACAATGCTATTAATTACTTCTGAAAAATCCTGAAGAGAGAAAAGCAATTGACATTAGACAGATTCTTTAACCTCCACAAACAGAAAAAACATGACTAATAAAAATGCAAGACTGTGTTTATATGTATTTTTATTATTACATGTAAATAAATGTAGTAAGTATATTTTTTATTTTTATGACATACGATAAAGGCAGTCCATCGAAGGGAGGTTTGCCATACAAAATAAGACATCGTCATACAAAAGGTATCATCATACAAGGCTGTTATAAGAATCCGAAAGGAAGTCATAAAACATAGTACTACATTCGAAGTATACAAGCTTGTTAAAAGAGAAGATTTAAAGGAACTGTCCATAGAATATATAAGAAGAGAAATATCAAGAAAGGAAGAAGACCCTCATATAGATACAGAGAATATATGAAAGACCTGTGGAAGGTAATATAAGTTAGATCGATGTGAACTCTCTCTCACACGTTAGGTTTAAAAATAATCTAGGGTTAAGATTTAGGATTAGGTTAGATTCATTCTTTTGTATATTTCTATATTTTGATTCATTAAATGTTTTGATTTGTTATATAAAAATAGTTTGGTTAATATTGTCTTTAAATTTCCTTCGCTCCTCTTACTCACGTGTGTTAATATCAGTTAATGTTTTATTGTATGTGGATAACGCGTGTTAATCCACGTACAATAAAACTGATTAACTGGTGTCGGGAATCCTGATGGAAGGAAAAGGGTGATTACGCAATCATCTGATTCCACTTTAAATTAACATTCAAACTGTAAATGAACTTATTAGTTAAAGCCCTCCACCCTCGATTTCTTGAGATAGAAAAGCCATTCTTCTAGACAAACAGAGGACTAGTTTAATAACTAGACGCCGATTAAGTGGTACATGAGTAAAAACTACTCCGTATCCCCGGCTAGCCCCTCACACTCAGTCAAAATTTCATTTTGAGCACAATCCTTGTTTGACCTGTATTACAATATAAACATTATAAATTTCAATAAGTTAAAAATCTAATATTAGAATATTTTAATAGCAGTGTCATCAAGCATTTCATTATTTCATAAGACATGGTAGCCAAACAAGTAAAACTTTTCTGAGTGGGAAATGACATTGCACTGTTTAACAGTACTATTGTAAGAGCACACAGCACACAATCACTTTAATAAAATTATTTTTATTTCATATACTAGTTTGATCAGTATTGGTTTTGATAAAAAAGTTAATTTTAATTGTGTATAATAATTTATATAATTACAATGTAATAAAATCAAAAAATTATCTTATGATTTTACTTTTATTTTGGGATGTTGCAGTTTTGCAATGCTTATCACAAGCTGCTACTGAACATTCAATATAATTTCACTATAATTTCAATAATCCAATGGTAGTAAGGGAAATTCCAAAGATTATGAATTGCTTTTAAATTACACATTTTTCTTATAACTGTCTCACAATGACTATTTTTTACAAAACAAAAATTATAATAATCTACATAAATTTTATGAAAAATAAAAGAATGTACTGTATAAGATTAATTGTTGTAATAATAGAATTAAAATACATTACTTACAGTACACTTTTACTTTTGAAAATATCTTTTCGGAACATAGTTAAAGTATTCTTTGATCTTAGCAATTGATTAACTATAATAAGTGCCTATAAAAATAAATTTTATATTTTATAGTGCATATAAAAATTAGTGTGATAATTTAAAGTTTATTATTGCAGAAAATAAATATCTTCAAATCAATATCTAAATCAAATAAACCAATGCTAAAGTTTTACATCTTTTATGCCTTTATTTGTTCTTTTGAAAAGCCTGCAAAAACAACATTTTTTTTAAGTAGAGAGAATAAGATAATAAATAAAAATATCACTTGAAATCACTTGCCATGGTAAAATAACATCAAATGATATGAATTTATGCCAGTTGACAGAAATAATTTTAAATGACAAGTAAAGTTATTTGTAACTATTTATTTTGTGTAAAAGAATATTAACTAATGAGAAAGATATGAATTATCAAACAACCTGCCAGATTATTTTTTGGGCTATATTAATGCTAATTAATAATTGATACAAAGCAATTTGGAGAGAAATATGTGATTAAGCTGCCATCTTATGTTAAATTTAATAATTAATTCATTGATTTTCAATTTTAATTTAGACTATTTTATAAGAAAAAAAAGTCAGCCTGGAGCAGATCTAAAATCCACAACTCTTGCTTACCTTGCAGATGCATTGCAGGTAAGCTACCCAGCACCTACCAGGAGTGTGTCTGGCCTTCACTTTCAGAGCTATTTATTAACTAATTAATTTAAATATAACCATACCGATTACTCAAAGCACCAATTGAAGGCAATTTTAGAGCTCATGGCCCTCCATGACTCTCAGCCAACTTACACTTTTATTCCAGATGTGTATATATATATATATGTAAAAAAAGTTTTATTTATATGGGGTTAGTTCTGTGATCATATAACTCGTGTGTGTATATATATACGTTTACNAGCATTTCAAAATTGTTACGAAATTGTATCAAAACGAAATTTAAATTTAAAGAAATTTGTTTTATTTGTAAACAATCTAGCCTAAAATTTTGATTTTATTTAAAAACTGAAACCTTAATAAATATAAAAATTGGATTTTTGACTCTGAAAATCGAAAAAGTTTGCAGAAACAAAAATCTTTGCATTACAACGTCATTCGCAAAAATCCGAAACGGAAGGAACATGGCGGACATACTGTACGCTGCATGCCACATTTTAATACTAGTAGCCCGGGACGCTCCCTAGTGGGCGTTTTAGCAGTATTACAAATTCCTATGAGGCATGTTTAAAGCAGCGGCAGCTTTACGTTCCTCCACAGTGGCGTATTTCTTTGGTCGTGCCTACAGTGGCTAGCCACTGTAGTCGTGCCATGAAAGGTTTCTATTATTATATTAAAAAATTAGCTTAACTATTTCAAACCTTATCGTTTTATCGTAGCGGTTCAAATCTATCCGGTTTTTCGTTATTCGCCTCCTAGTGAACATTACAGGCATTCCGTGACAATAATAAATTCCTATTACAAATATAATGAATTATTTATATTGTTATATTGACCAAATAATAATTTATTGGCCAAATGAATAATAATAATTTATATTGTTCATTTAAATAATAATTAAAATTGTTAATTTAATTTGAATGTTTTAAATATGACACACGATAGGGGCGCCTCTAGTGTCCGTTATCAAACGGTTACGGGACAGACGGACAGTTCAATGGGTTATATATATAGATTATAGTTATTAATTTAGATAAGAGATGGCATCAAACATCTACCTCTAGTACCAAATTACTTAGTTTCTAATGATTAATTATAGCATATTAATAGTCCAATTAATTATGGCTTGAGTTTGGATTAGTATGTAAAATTTTATTCGTAAAACAACATAAAAATGTAGTTTGGAGTTCATGCCAATACACTTTTTTGGGAGAAAGAATAAGTCAACAAAAAACAACGTTAATTAAAGAGCATTTTTATGATGATATTTTAATTTTCTTAGCAATAAAATGTTTGGATAAGTGTGATTATTGTAATAAAAATTTATTAAAACTATTTTTAATGTCAGTTAAATGTACTTAATTTTTTAGTTACTTAACAACAAAGGAAATCTAACCAACCAGATGGCTTAGATGGTTATGGTATCAACCTGCTGCTCTGATAGATTCAGGATTAAATCCAGGCTAGCAACCCCAGGAATTTTTCATGGATGTCTATATCAGACCAGAGCAACTCTGCCATCATGAAGAGGGCACCAAAAGACATTCCTAATTAAGTTCCTGATTTGTATTAAATGATAAAAAATGGAATAAACATTACATTAAAAAAAATAAAATTGCAACCTCCAATGGTCCAAGTGCATTTGCATTATACATTTATATGAATTTATAGTATTGTATTGCACAATCAAACATGTACAAAGTCACTTTGGTAGTGAGTTTTTTCATCTGGTAAGGAATAAACTAACCTATACAGAATAGTATATACCAATGTTGTCAGATATTCATACCATCTAAACTCAATTCAAAAAAAGAGTTTTAATGACAATCAAAAAAAATAAAAACTAACTGTATATTTGCATTAATTCTTAAAAGGTGCAAAAAATAGGACTTGTTGTGAGTGCAAGATACCCTAGCAGTGACATTATCTCATTTTTTATCAAGAGCTTTTTAATAAATTATATTCCCCATTTAAAATTGCAATTATTATTAAAATGATGGACAATCCTTCAAAATCCTCAATTCCACAACACAACTGCAACACTGATATATTTTTGTTGTGTTGATGTTAATATTGATTGCAAAAGAAGCATGGATTTTTTTCTGTAAATGTGTTAAGTCTAATCAGAGAACAAGTATGTACCAGAGAAACAAAATGAATGAATGATAATTTAAAATTTTCAAATGGAATTGGTTATTTTTTATATAAAATTTGGTTGAAGAAAAATTTTTCTTCTACACCAAATTTTATACAAAAATGAATGAATGTTTTAACCTAAACAGGAAAATAAATTAAAGTCTTAGAGGAATCATGATTTGGTGTTGAGATTAATAAAACTAGTGCTTTTGTCATTTTATATGGATTTTTAAACACAGTTAACAACTTACCTTGATGTACAATTTATGCCAGGGGTTGGCAACCTTTCAGCAGTGTTATGCTGAACATAAGTTGTAGTGTTATTCCAAGTGCCGACTTAATTCTATCAAGTTTATTATATATGTTATCAAAATTAGATTTAAAATTTTGAAGTTAATTTGTTAATTGAATTATGTTCTTACATGTGAAGCGCTTGCATAACACATAGATGGTGGCACGGAGCGTAAACTCATGCACTGTAATAGAAATATACAAACAATAGATTCGTTTTTAATGTATCACAGCCTTTGATGAACTATGACTTCCATTTAAATGTGTAATTAATAATTAATATATAATTTTTACTACATTTCTATTCAGAGTGCCACTGAAAATCATCTTGCATGCCATAGATTGCCTACCCCTAGTTTATGCAAATCCCTAATAAAATTACTGTCATCTGATATAAAATCATCTCAGATTTATAGCTTCATTTCAAACAAAATAAATAAATAAATAAAAGCTGTGTCAGAGTTGAGCATGCATTTTCAGATACCAGTGATAATGGTTGAAAAGTTTAAAAAAATAATTAAAATATAACAACACCAAACGATCGCCTAATTATCGGGCTATAATATGGCTATTTTAAATGATTGGAACTAAGTAATTTGACAATTAGAGGTAGGCGTTAGGCGCCATCTCTTAATTAAATTAATAATTAAATAAATAATAATTAAATAAATAAATTTAGAACATTCTGGAATAAAAGAACTGACCCGGGACGGGGCTTGAACCCGCAACCTCCGCTTGCCGTGCGGTGCGCTTGCCAGTTACCATATAGCAAATATTGCCAAGTAACAACAATTTATTGAAAATTTAATAATTTTTTCATCATTCAATATTTGTAAGATAATTCTATAACTTCTTCTTTAGAAAGAAACCATATTTGATTCCTAACACTTTTAGTACATACTGTATTTGGACAAATTAAACTATTATGAAAACCTAATCACTGGCCTACATAAAACTGCCTAAAAGTTTAAAACCAAAATAATGATTTTGATATGTGATTAAAACAGGCAAAACTCATATTTTTTTGCCTAGAAAAAAACTTTATTCTAAGTAACAATTTTAACTAATTACAAATTTTAGTTTACAAAATGTGTCAAATTATCATTAATAAATAGCATATGCTCTAAATGTGGCAGAATGATTTATTGTTACACATAGCTGTTATAAATACATTGGACATTAGATAACATTAATGTCATGTAATAGTGAATTAATGGAGAAAGTTTTTCTTTTGCCAAAACATACCAATATCTAGCCAAACTGTAGTCTGAATAATCTGGAAATTAATATGATTATTATAGAATATTTGGGCTTAACAAATTACAATATTTCATTTTTTGATCTTATAAATAAAATGCTATTAATAGTCAACATGATAACTATATATCTTTTTGTTAGAATATAAAAATATAATTGAATTATTTTTCTTTACCTGTTTTAATGAACATATAAAAATGTTTTCAAGTGTAACAAACTGCAACAATGATTTTAAAATTTTTATTGCTGGTTCTTTTTCTGAAAAAATAAAATGAAAATTTTTTTTACAATTAAAAATACACTATGAAAATCACATATTGCATATCACACAATTCTATAATTATGAAATTTGATAATAGAAACCTTATGCAGTTGAAAAACTTCATTCTACAGTGATATAACAGGCTCTGCATAATGGCAGAGCCTAGGGCATAAAAATTAAAGTGACATTAAACAATAACAGGTTCACTCTCCAATTGTCAAGATCAAGAGAGGTGATTGGTGGCAGCAGTCATTGGTATTTAATGTTGTCTTAATTTTTCTGCCTTAACTGTAGAATTTGGGAAGTCTGAAGCCTGAAGCATAGGAGTCCTAAACTATTTGAATGATTTTTAAAATTATACGCAGTATTAAAAATAAAGCCCAATACATATTAATTCAATTCAATTTCTAAGTTTTATTTTAAAATAAAATGATAACACTCTTTACAGAGACTAATCATAATTTAAATGCAAAAAGTCAGTATCAGATGGCTGGGACCTTGAAATTAATATTGTAAGAGTTTGTAGTATTTGCCATGGTAGCATGTCTGTTAGGAAAATGTCTAACATACAGCATATCTACAAAGTGCGTCCAAAAAGTAAGAATCAGTTAAGTGTAAAAATATTTTGTAAAAAATTTTTAAAATGTTCTTATTGCAAAATACTGTATATTAATACTACTATTCTAAATAATCACTACTTAAATTCAAGTATTTGTCCTGTTATGACACTACCTTTTGGTGGTGTCATAACAGGACAAATACATTATCAAAATTAGTCAAGGATAGTTTGATAACATAATATTTGATAACAGAAAAATAACAAGTATTACTTCATCACAGAAGTTTACCACCAAACCTTTTAACCACTCCTGTATAATGTCTTATCTATTGATGACTTCCTAGACTCTGGCCATCCAAAAACCTCTGATAGAAAAACAAGTAGTAATCATTAGGGACAAATTCAAGACTGTATGAAGGATGCTTGATAATTTTTTTCCAAACTGTTTGAGTAATGCACATACAGTAAACTCCCAATTATCCGTGCATGAATTTAATTGCAAAAAATAATTATATGTGTATGTATTTTTTATATAGTTGCTCGCTTTCATGTTTACGCATCCTATAAGTGTGCACGTGTTCACATTTAGATGTTTTAGATGTTTGAAGCGGGTGGTAGGGGTATCTGAAGTCAGCTGGACTGGTTTTAGTTAGGCCACTTTTTTTGCGTCGGATGTTTCTTTTCAGAGAAGAAAACAATAATGAGTATATTTATACAAAGTTTCATTTAGTTGCATTAAGATTTGATTATATGTATAATACATATTATATATAATATTTTTTTCAAATAACTTTCCCATAAATACTTTTAGTGTAAAACTACGTAAAATAAAACGTTTTTTTTTTTTTTTTTAATTTTCAGATAAGTACCCTTAAAATGCTTAATAATCAAAAGAAAAATACTTACTATAAAACAAAAACTAATGTTAATTGAAAAATTTGAAAAACATACACTGAACCAATTTACGGTGTGGTACGATCGACTAACAAGTACAAAAACAAACATTTTCGAACCCCTTCTGGGCTCTTCATCAGGTTCCTACAGTTTTAGCTCGTAAATTCGATTACCGAATGCTTTCCAAATAACTTCATTCTTGAGTTTGAATGGTTCTTTTAAACTTATACGTCACGCATGAGTGACAAGTCTGCCTGCTCGGATATAACGAGCAGCTAAAGCATGCTGTGTATCACAGCATGCTGTGTCGATTGCCAGGCCATCAACAAAATCATCTCCTCTTTAAAATTTATGCACGTAGTTTTGATAGAGGATTTAAAGATGTGCATCGCCTCTAACCACTTGAGATGTTCATTGGGAGGCACCCCAAGGAGAAGATTGGCCCTATTAAAGTCAGCAACTATGTTCGGATATGTTGCGACGGCCGTGCTGGTTCTCCCATGACGAATATCCGCCCTATGTTCTTGCATTCTGATGCCTATGGATCTTTTAGTAAAACCTATATATACTAAATCCCTATTGAATCTATTATCTCTCAAATGGACACTATAGATTCCTGATCTTCTGCTGGGAATTAGGAGGGTCCTTCCCATAACTTAAGATGCTAAAAATAGTGCAACACCTCCTGTAAGCAATACATATTTGGCACTTCCTGGCAATCTTGTCGTATATAGATCTTACATATGGGTTATAGGTGATGGGGATCCATTCTATGTCTTCTGGTTGGTTACCAATGTGTTAGTCTACCAGCCGTGCGCTATCTACATATATCCGGCTATAATTTTGTATCATCTTACATATAGGTTTGCGGTAACCATGTTCTGTGGCAACTTGCTAACTCCACAGGGCTAGCGATATTGTATGGTTATCCAACTGTGGAGCGAGTAGGGTATGTACAGCCTTCTCCAACCTCTGTGTAGGCGCTCTTGCTCTAGCAAAAGCGCCTAACACAATTGAAAGAGATCACATCCTACTGGTATGTTACAGTTTTGGACTTTAAGTCCCTATACCCATCAATTGAACTCCCTCCCGCTTTCTGCGCTCTAAGGGACATGCTGTTTTGTATAGTCGGGGATAACACGCAACACAACCATGTACTTGAAATGGTACATTTAATATGTTATAGTTCTGTGTTCCAGTTCAATGGTGAAGTCTACACACAAGGCAGAGAGGTCCCCATGGGCAGCCCAGTTTCAGGGGACTTATGCGAGATGGTAGTCCGGCAGTTGGAGAACAAAGTCCTCCCAAAATTCCTCCCTAATATCATACTACCGTGTTTCCCCGAAAATAAGACATCCACAGAAAATAAGACCTAGCACAGATTTTGCTGAATTGCAAAATATAAGACCTCCCCCCGAAAGTAAGATCTAGCGAAGTTTTTTTTTAGTCATAACGGTCATTAACAGATGGTTGAAAGTGGCCGTTGGCTTTTTGAAAGTACAGCCACTGATTGGTCAGCAGACAATTACGCCACACGGCATGATTTGCATAAGACTATGCCTTGGGAATCACAGATTTGCATAACGTTACGGCTGGTGATGGCTAATTGGTCGGCCGGGAATCACGCCACATGATATTTGCATAGTGCTACGGTTCAGTAAGCACTAATTGGTCATCGAGTCCGATGTTGACGCTATAAAAAGGCGACAGTTCGACACACCGGATATACGTCACTCTCGTCTAAGTTCGACTTGGGAATTTTTTTGTTCAATGATAAATGTGAATTCTTCTTCCTGGAAAAAATAAGACATTCCCTGAAAATAAGACCTAGCTCATTTTTCAGAGCAAAAATTAATATAAGACACTGTCTTATTTTCGGGGAAACACGGTATATAGGAGATATATTGATGACATTATTATTTTTTGGAAAAATGTGCCTGATATAACAGCCTTAGTGGATGCTTATAATAATAACCCATATGGGTTGATGCTAGAATTAGAACAATCTGACCCCGCAAAGGTCCATTTCCTAGATATAAATATTAGGTTAGAAAAAGATGGCATCAGCACTGCGGTGTACCATAAACCAGGATCTATGTCATCGTACATCCCTGTGGGGTCATGCGATCTGGTTTCCTACAAGATAGTGACATATAAAGCCTTAATCAGAAGAGCCTTCACACATTCTTCTAACATACAGGCTCGTGATAAAGAGCTAGTGTCTATACTAGCTCTTTATCACGAGCCTGCAGAACATGGTTACCACAAACTTATATGTAAGATGATACAAAATTATAACTGGATATATGTAGATAGCACACGGCTGGTAGACTAACACATTGGTAACCAACTGGAAGACATAGAATGGATCCCCATCACCTATAACCCATATGTAAGATCTATATACGACAAGATTGCCAGGAAGCGCCAAATATGTATTGCTTAAGGAGGTGTCCCACTATTTTTAGCATCTTAAGTTATGGGAAGGACCCTCCTAACCCCATCAGAAGACCAGGAATCTATAGTGTCCCTTTGAGAGATAATAGATTCAATAGGGATTTATATAGGCTCTACTAAAAGATCCATAGGCATCAGAATGCAAGAGCATAGGGTGGATATTCGTCATGGGAGAACCAGCACGGCCCTCGCAACATACCCGGACATAGTTGCCGACTTTAATAGGGCCAATCTTCTCCTCGGGGTGCCTCCCAATGAACATCTCAAGTGGTTAGAGGCGATGCACATCTTTAAATCCTCTATCAAAACTACGTGCATAAATTTTAAAGAGGAGATGATTTTGTCGATGGCCTAGCAAGAGTTGATACACAGCATGCTTTAGCTGCTCGTTATATCCGAGCAGGCAGACTTGTCACTCATGCGTGACGTATAAGTTTAAAAGAGCCATTCAAACTCAAGAATGAAGTTATTTGGAAAGCATTCAGTAATCGAATTTACGAGCTAAAACTGTAGGAACCTGATGAAGAGCCCAGAAGGGGTTCGAAAATGTTTGTTTTTGTACTTGTTAGTCAATCGTACCACACCGTAAATTGGTTCAGTGTATGTGATTGTTATATAGATGTGGTGAGTAGTTAATTTTTTTTAAATTTGAAAAAGGTGAATCTACATTTTGTATTTTAGAAATAAATAATTATAGTTCGGATTATCTGTGCCACCTCTCCCCACCATTAGCCCGGATAATCGGGAGCTTGCTATATATGAATTACAGTATCAAGTCAAACATTTATCATACATCAAACTCCAGCAGTTAGTAGTCCATGTCATTAGTTCTGAATTGATCAGCATAGCTGCTTAAGACAATACAATGCTAAATTTATAATCATTCCTTGGTTTACAAATTCACAAAAAGAATGCATTTGAAGTCCCAAAAATCCACAAACAATGTTCCAAGCCATCATCATCTACTTTATCATCTTTGGCTTTGGAGACCCTGTGTGAGAGTAGCCAAGGACATAGGTCTCAATCTACGCCCCTTAAGGCTGGTATACACGGTAAGGAAATCCTCAAAGGATGTGCTTAAAAGACGAAAAAAACTAGGATATAACTGGCTGGATTGAACATAGCATTTTACAAAACTTATTAAAATATCTCCCAATGTATAAAGAATTATTTTTATTTAAAAATGGATAGATAGAAAAAAAATCACGGTTAATCCTCAAAGGATTTCCTTACCGTGTATACCAGCCTTTACGGGCACTAGTCGGTAAGACCAGTTCTCTAACTTTAATAGGAGAGTGTTATCAAAATTGATCCAAACGGCGAAGTTCAGATGCTCGTCAGGTTCCCGACACCAGTTAATCAATCTTATTATACGCGGATTAACACGCATATGAGATCTGATTCGGTCACACAATTAGGAGACATTTTAGTTGGAAACGAAATAATAAATTTAATAAACAAGAAAATAAATCATACAAAAGGTGGATAAACGAGAGACAGAACTACTACAACCAATATACACATCGGTAGATAGCTATACTTATATTCTACCCTAGTCGCGATTGAGAGAGAGCTCACAAAAATTGTTATAAAACATACGACCTGTTTCAGTTGTCGTTCGTCTTCTTCTCTGTATGCAAGTTCAGTTACTTCTTCGTATGGGAGATCAATACATGCACACATATAAAAGTATATTTCCTACGTGCAGACTTATTCCGTATGTGACTCGTCTGAGGACGTTGGTCATCAGGAGGGAAACGTATGTGGAGTTTGTATGCTTTCGGATCTGTCGCTGAACTCCCCGAATTCAGACAAGTTCCCTCTATA